GGATCTCAAGAGGCTGGAGAAATGGGCAGAGAGGAACCTCAACAAAGGGAAATTCAAAGTCCTGCACCTTGGGAGGAATAACCCCACGCACTAGTACAGGCTGGGGCAGATCATCTGGAAAGCAGCTTTGCAGAAAAGGACATGGGTGGCCCAGTGGACAAGTTGAGATGAGGCAGCAGTGCGCCCTCGTGGCAAAGGCAGCCAACAGTATTCAGGCTGCATCAGGGAAAGCATTGCCAGCAGGCTGAGGAAAGTGATCCTTCCCCTCTACTCAGCACTGGTGAGCCCACACTGGAGTCCTGTGTCCAGTTCTGGGCTCCCCAGTACATCAACATACTGGAGAGAGTCCTGTGAAGGACCACAAAGATGATTAAGGGGCTGGAGCATCTGTCATCTGATGAAAGGCTGAGTGAGCTGGGACTGTTCATCCTGGAGAAGAGAAACCTCAGAGAGATCTCATCAGGAAATGTGACTGCCTGAATGGAGGGTGCGAAAAAGACCAAGTCAGACTCTTTTCAGTGGTGCCCAGTGACAGGACCAGAGGCCATGGGCATAAACTGAAACCCAGGAGGTTCCCTCTCAACACAAGGAAACCCTTTTTTACTGTGAAGGATAACCAAGCCCTGGAACAGGTTGCCCGTATAGGTCATGGAGTCTCCCTCCTCAGAGATATTCAGAAGCTCTCTGGACATGGACCTGGGCACCTTGCTTCTGATGACCCTGCTTGTTCAGGGAGGTTGAACTGGACAATCTCAGTGAACCTGAAGCAATCAGTGAACCTGAAGCAATCTATCACAACTGTACATCTGATGCCAGGAGTTTACCTTAGGCCATTGCTTTAACACACCGTTCCCATCTCTTTGGTAGCGTTTTCTGAAATTCATAATGTTACCCCTAAAAATAAAGGAATTGTGTTTTGAAGTGAAGCTGTTACATGCTGCAGTATGTAGTGGGCGTATGCTCTTTTGTTTGCTTGCCATGTTTATAGAGTCACTAAACGACTGAAAGCATGCTGTCAAAGAATAAACTACAGAGTGGATGAGGAGATAGCCTGGACATCTGAATATATCTGTATGGAGGATGAGGAGGTACTGAATGTATCCGTATGGAGGATGAGGAGATACTGAATGTATCCGTATGGAGGATGAGGAGATACTGAATGTATCCGTATGGAGGATGAAAATGCCAGCACACCAACTATGTTTTCCTTGTGCCTCAGTACTGTGCCCATTACACCTGCTAGCACAGAGGACTAACGCATTTGAACAGCTAAGAGACAAACTAAGGTTTTCCCTGAAGCCCGTCTGCTCTTTTCCCTCGTAACTCTCTTTAGATGCAGGAGGGAATTAGAGTTGATTTTAAGAGGAAGAAAAGAGGAGGTAGAAAAATTGATCAGGTAATAGAAGGAGTTGTCAGCCTAAAGTAGAGGCATGGTAAGGGGGGAAACAAACAACTTCACTGATTAGGATCAAATTAAGGGTGGGAATTGTCAAAAGATAAACCTAATCCACCATGTGACTTTATATACTAGTTACAGCTGCTGATAGTGACAGTAGACGGTGTGTTGGGGTGAAAAGCCCTTTTGTGTACTAAGACACGTTGCAAAAAGCATTTGTGGTAGTTTGACCCACAGTGGGACCATGTGGTCCTGCATTCACTCCCTCAACTTGTTGAGATGGGATGGGAGACACAACAAAGGGGGCATGGGATTAGGATGAAGAACAGGGAAGGTTCACTCACCAGTTATGGTCATGGGCAAAACAGACTCAAA